ATGTGTTGTAAATTCCTAGATTTTCATTTTCTTGCATAAAGACTAACCTGTCCTTTTGTTCTTGGAACACCTAGGTAGTCGAATAGGGACAGTATTGACATTTAAGTTGTCTGGTGACAGATAGGAGATCTGGGGTTACAACATTTTTATATTGCCCAAGTGGATATGGTATAATAATGGAGTTAGGAGTATCTTATTTCAATTTGTAGATGGCATCTTAATATATCCTTTTTCGCATCTTTTCCTTTTGTCCTTTAAAAATGGAAAATATCTTTTCTGATAAACAATGTGTTGAAGAATGCGTGCCAACCACCAAATGATGACATATTAAATGTAAGATGTTGGGAAATCTTATCTTTATCTTGACAAATAATTGAGAAAAGAACCATTGCAACCAACAGAATGCAAGGCACGTGGCCTCCATGCCTCAATCCCCACAATCCCAACATCAGATATCAGAGAAATATGAAAAGGGAGGGGAGTGGGGGTGAATGGTGGTGGTGATGAACACAAAAATTGTATATTCTTAACAATTGTTGAAAATGGACTGTCAGGGAGGAGTTCTTAAACTTGGATCAGTGCTAGCGAAAAGGCTGATGGTGATGGAGATGGTGGTCAAATGGGGAGATACAAAGGGGGGTGGGGTTTGGTTTTGTTGGATGAAAAAAGGAGAATCCAAAGAGAGACAAAGGAGATATTGGCAGAGTGGAATTAGGCAGTTTGGGGGTTTAAGCTAAGGTGCACGGCCTGCCACTTTCATGGGTTGTGAAGAGATGGACTCAAACGTAACTCCTTTCGGCCACTCAGAATATTCCAAAATAGAAAACTTGGCTCCCACGAATGTTTCAAACAAAGCTGTGATACAAACTTGCATGCATTATAGAGATTTGATGCGTATCTTGCTGTATTTCTAAGCTTGTCGATGCAACTGTTTCAAGACAGGAGGTCCAGTCCAACCCAAAAGAATTGGAAGACGAAGGAGAGGTCCATAACCCAAGGTGCAAATGCGGCCCAAGGCCAGTAAAGATCTGAAAGGAAATCCGCAACGAAGCAAGCGACGCAGCGTTTAAGGTGTCAATGATGGCCACAGTTCCCTCACTGTGTAGGTTCACCGCAATCCTTGGCAGCTGCTTCATCACCTCGTCCCCGAGAAGCTGTAAGATTCGGGTTCATCCCCATCTTCCAATCTGCCTCATCACTCGGAAGCTTTCGTCCTCGAGCCCAATGAGTCAACCAAGCTGCCAGCCCGCCGGCGCCACCAAAACCGAGTCGGCGAGGGCGGAGAACGACCAAGAGGACGTGCTGGTGCAGTACGTGGTGCTCCGGAGAGACCTGATAGAGTCGTGGCCATTGGGGAGCGTGGTAACACAGGCGTGCCATGCCTCCGTCTGTGCCATTTGGTCTCACAAGGACGATCCACATACCCTCCAGTATTGCAGCCCTGAAACTATTGACTCTATGCATAAGGTAAAGCAAACTTTTGTTCTTCCCATGAATTTGATTTATTATAGATTAAAGTCGATGGCTTTACCTGATAAATTGATCTGCACAAGGCCAGAAATAAGTGAGAATTAATAAAACAAACAGATGAGAATGCAGCTTCAACATAATGATATGAAGAACTTTAATTTGCCATTTTGGTCAAAGTGGTTGTGTTGGCTGATGCAACCTGTCTTCTTTACTCTTGTATGAAGTATGATCATGGCAAATTGGAGGCAACCTCATTGTGACACTCCAATTCTGTTTCTCCTACTAGATTGTGCTTAGATCTCTCCCTGCTTGGGAGTTTGCCACCCAAAAATTAGTGGATTAGTCCTTCTTGGGTTATAAATCTCTTGGCATAAGAGATAAATGGATGAGAGAGCATGATCCATTTGTCCCATAAAACCATCCAACAAGGGATGTTGGAAGCAAGACAAAAGTTTTGAAGTTGTAGTAAATGAAAGATCTTGCTATGTTTGTTGTAAATGAAAGGTTTTAAAGGTGAAACTTTGTTCCACTAGGAAAAATTAATGTCTAGTTAGTTGATTACCATTACCTTAAAATGAGCCCGCACGCAGATTTGCCATTAGAAGAAATGATTGCCGTTTCTATTGTCAATTAAACCTTTCTCTTTCACTCATCATGTTACTGTCTTCGAGTTTTCCCCTTTGTAATCCCCTGAGTATTTGACAGTATCTCATTATCGCTTGATAACGAATGTCACGAGGTGTTAATTTGATTGATAATTTTTTGCCCTTGTGGCTGGAGTTGTGTGATGGTCCTATAATTGTTCCTTGATTTTGGTCTTTTATTGGTCTGTCTGGCTGGAATGAACATGAGCTAAATGTTCTGACCACAGTCTTGTTTCTGGAACATGTAGGTTACCCTTGAGGTGAAAGGAGAAACCCAGATATTGAACTTGTCTGAAAAGCTGACAGCCGGTGGTATTGCTCATAAACTTTGGATTGAGCAGCCTGAAAACATTCCAACCTGTCTGGCGACAAAACCCTACCCCAAGTCTATAGTGTCAGTGTTTTTCAAAAAGTTGAAACTTTGTAAGTGATTATTTTGATTGTTCTAATCCAATAGTAATTCAAAGGATGAGCATAAAATCATAGGTTGTGTACTATGATTCTTTCGACATCTAAATTCCCTGTATGAGTTGAAACTTATTATATTTTCAACATTGAAGCAAAGCTTTGCTGTTTTCATGCCTTTATTTGGCACTGAAGCCTACTTGCCAAGAACTCTGATGCAACTGTGCAAGTATGTTTAATTAAACTACATCCTTTTTACGAAAAGCATCTATAAGATTTCTGACTTAGGCCCATTTAGGATGCTGCGAGATCCCAAGGCCCAATGCTAACACTCGCCCTGCTTGCGACCTGCGTGGAGCTTAAAGGCATGGAAAGGCTCGTGATTTTCTCATGTCATTCTTGTTTCCATACAGAGGAGAAGCCCAAGGCCTAGCTTTTGTCAAGGAATACCACAGAGAGCGAGAAAATTTGCTGATATTACCCCTTCCAAAGCACAAAATGGGGGCGGGCCCGCAATCACAACAGAGATAAACAAAGCAAAAGCGAGCCAGAATAGCATGCCTAGTAGAAACCAAAGAATTGGGATGATTTATTACGGAGCAAATGGTACCGAAATAGAGCTCTGAATTCAATACTATTTTAAAGAATCAGCAGCAGCAGCACAAAAAACACATCCTGTTTTAACATATCGCCCAAAAAGCAGTATTTTAACCAATGTTCAATGACCCTTCTACTGTTGGAAATATGTGACTCCAAGTACAACAATGTCAATTCTTGATACCCGCTACTACCCCTAGATACAGAGAACACCACAAAAATGAAGGCGGCCGTCGATTGTATTGCGAGCCAAGTACCTGCATTTTTAAACAGAATAACAAAGGTTACTAAATCTTTCATTTCAATGGGGGTTTGAGGCAGTAACTGACAAGCCAAAGCGTTATAACGACTACCAGCATAGGTGAAAACAAATGATGCTCATATTAACTGCCTCCCTTTTGTTTTAGAGTGATCTTATCCCCAAGACTAAGAGCAATCCCCTGGGTCTTGCTCCTTATCCTGATGTACCCGCTAAGCTTCCCATCTGCTTGTTTCTCAACACTCACGTTTACCAAGGCATCCTCCCCAAACACACTCTTTGCATACAGGTTAGCTGCCAGGAATCCACACTCACCATCTAGCGCAGATCTGAAACACAAACCAGCCAGCAAAAAGGAAGAACAAGAAAGAATGGATTAATACCAACACGGATGATCTACCAGGAGTTCATATAAGAGATTTATTACCATGTTCAGCAGCCTTCTAATAAAGGTTATTTTGAGTCACAAAACCATAAAAGATGGCATCTGTAAACCAGCATAGTATAAGGTTGTGATTGTACAAATTGAGCATGATAGATTCATTAAGTTGTTTCACAACACTAAGGTCACACATTTATCACATATCATGCAGCAACCTTAATAAGGTGAAACCTACAGCATGGTATGCAGAAACCGACTACTGATCAGTTAAATTCTAAATCTAGATATTTCTGAATAAGGCAAACTTACGGTGCAGTGAGACACTTCATATTGGTTGACTTGATAATATGGTCAAGGAATTCCTTCTCATCTTGAATTACAGAGTTAACGGCAACCTGAAACACAAAACAGATAATGAAAATTAAAATTGAAACACCAACATTAATGAGGATGAGAAATGCTAGCTCAGCCCATAAGAAGCTTACAGATATATAGTGTAAACTCTATTAGCAGTACAAGGGGAATAAAATTAAAGGGTAATTGAACACTATGCAAAAGCATGTGAGCAACTTACAAATTTGAGCTAATATAAACTTGCCATCTATATACATTATATTCAAAGCAAATGAAAGCATCAATATTGGGCTTGCAAATTAAAGGAAACAGGGATGTTTATATTGAGAAATAGTTCAGGAGATACCTTGTTTTCCCACTCAAATTCTGCCCACATAGTTCTGAATGCAGCATCAGTACAAACAGCAGGAGAAATATAGTCCATGATATCAATGTGGATGTCATTAAGAACAACAACAGTTCTTTCAAGCACATTTGAAGTCTCATAAACAATGTTGCCAAATATGACTCCAGTCTCAGTTGAAGACACCTTGATGTTGGCCTTTATTTGCTTGCTAGATTCAGGAGCTAGGGTATAGTTTTGTGGACGCTCAACAAGTTTCAGATCACCCATAGTTGCCAACTCCAAGCACAAATTCTGAAGGGTTTCCTTGGTCCGATTGATAACTGTGACATCAAGAACAATATCATAGTGATGCACAGTGACATATGCTTCAGCATATACAGGGTCACTAAATCCAGTCAGCTGAAGAATGCGGTTAAGCTTATTTGCGTCATCTGCATCCTTGACAAACTCTCCAGTTGCCCGCTTTAAATCATCTTGAACCTCATCCTCCAATTCTAGCTGACTCATACCCTGGAAGTTAGCAATAGAAAATTTTAGATACAAGTACATAAATTTGTGACAAAAATCTAAGAATTGAAATTATGAGTCAATAGCCACAATATCTGCAAAAGCCAGAAGGTGAACCAAGGAGATAAAGCAGAGAAATTCTATCAGACAAACCAAAACAATCTACATGCCTAAACAAAATACCAAACATCCATGTATGACCAGAAATAGGCACAATCAACTTGGTGCAAAGCAAAGATGTTAAACTTATGCAAAAAATATAATGACCAAACAAAACAAAGCTGTCTCACCTTCCGACTCTTTAGATGGTAGAAGTCGATAAGGTCATCTGGTTGTGCATGAGAAACCTGAGCCTTCGCCTTTAATTCCTCAGTTTCTTGTAACTGTTTTTCTGAAAGCATTTTAACAAAGCTCTGACGGCAAGACTGCAACCATATTTTCCTGATCTCATCACCAGTATTGCACAATAATCTCATGCACAGAACAATCCTATCATAAGAATCATTATCAATTGGGTGTGGAAGAACAGAAGATTGTCCCAATTGCAGCATAGAGACCATGATCAGCATTGCCTGCGTGGTTGCTTTATTGACTTCAACTTTTGATGGCTGTACCTCTTCCAATCTCAGAATAAGTTTAGTTAGCGTGCAAGCAACAACTGCCCCAAGGAAAAAATCGCCAGTGAGGAGAAGAGATCTGAGATTCCCAGAAGCCAAAGATCCCTGAACAATGGTAGGAGGGGAAAAAGCAGTTTCAGAGGCAGCACTCTGGGTTGCATAAGTACCATCAGCAAGAATAGCTGGTCTCCTAGAGGAGACAGTAATGGAGTTTGCTTGAGGAGTTTTCTTTAAAGCATCAGCAGCTTCCCCTTCCTCAGAAACAGAGTAGAATGGTAGCTCTCCAAGACACTGCTTGATGGTTGATATGCCACTCTCAACTTCAGACAGAGACAGGCAATACTCTCCAATGATCCAAAGGGCACAGGAGCAAACCCGTGCAGCTCGGATCTGATAGAATGTGTCCAATAGCCTTGTTATAATGGACACCCTAAGTTTAGGGTTGGTTTCAATTATTTCTCGAACAAAAGCAACAACGTCAATAGCTGAAGCAACATTACTATCTCCCAAGAAATCCATCAGCAGATGCACAACTGTGCTTGCAACTTCTGGGAACTTGATTGCACAGGAATGAATAGCTTGAATGAGCATTTGTCTATACTCACCATTTTTCTCAAGCTCTCCACTTTGAGTCTTCACAACTTCCTTCTTCAACATAAGAACAACCTCACTGATATTTCGGGGAGTTATTAACTCCAAAACAATATCAAGTGTCTTCCTCCGGATGTCAAGATTTGGACTTGAAAGTGCCCTAAGCACATCCATGATCATATCAACCATAATATCTCTATGAGAAGATTTGAGCTCATTCAACCGATCTAGCACAATAAGCTTCACATTGTTGTCACTTTGAGAAAGAAGAAGCTGACAATAAGTGTTGGCAGCAGCTCTAATAGCAGTGGGAGCAGATGACAGAGAAACAAGGGTGCCAGCACACTCATAAATAACTGCAGTTGATGGGGCATTTAATAAAGATATAATAATCTTAATATACTTCCCTTTCTCCCCACGGTTCGTTCTGCAAACCTTACCAATCAACTCCAAGACAACCATCTGAAGCAATTCACCCCATTCAGAGACCCTATCAACATGGGTCAAGAGGTAATTAGTGGCTCGATCTTGTGCACAAGTAAATAGCATAAGAAATGCATTTCGCTTGGCTGATGGATCCTGCTCTGTTGAAAGGACCTTCTCAATCATATCGGGTGCATCAACCAAGAGCTGCTCACCTTGTGGAAGCTTATATATCGACATCACAGCTAATATAGCATTCCTTCGAATAAATGGATGCCGATGCTCCAGATTTTGCAAAACTGAAGGGATTAGTGGTTCAATAATCTCTGTCTCATTCAAGCGGCAAAGAAACCTCAAGGTTACACCACGAATATATTCATTTGGATGTTGAAGATTGTTCCTCAAATTTTGGCATATCAAGATCATTTCAGGCAATACCCTCCCTCTTGCATCAGTTTTCTCAATTATCTCTAAGTATAGAAGCAAAAGTTTTTGAACGGTGTGATCCTCCGAAGGCAAAACATACCTTACAATGGTGATAAAAAGCTGGGGGAGGGTTTCACCATTCAACAAAAGCATAATCGCTTTCTTCATGGCATCAATCTTTGCGGGAACATCATTGCCTTCAAGTGCTTCCTTAATCTCATTAGCAATTGCAGGTGTTCCTTTGTCAAAGTGAATAAGAAGAGTACAGGACTTCTCCATTATTTGCTAGTTTTCTGGCAATATAAAGGAACATGAAAATTCAAATCAACAACCCAAAATAAAGTACAACACTAATAATGATTCACAAAGATGGCACTAAAATAAAGCCATCTCAGCATAAAATATGCATCCATGACATGAAAATTTCACAAAGCTTGCATAAATCATACTAGGTAGCTGTGAAAGAGAACCATTTTGGACAAAGAAGAACAATTACTTCAAATCTCATAAGTCATAAGGTTGATTGTAAACTGAAATGATAAATCTGTTCTATGGCCATCTTCCTAAACAATACCATTTCTCAGTTGCCACCTAGGAACATATTTCGGGAAAATAATAGCATATGTTTACTACAGAATTTGCACACAGATCTTTCATAGGACATTTCTCCTCAACCCTAAAAAATAACAGTTACTGATTAATGCATAGTTTAGAGAAAATTTCCACTTGAATCTCACATGAAATATCTATCATATATAGATTTTGGATTGCCTGATTATACTAAACGGGAATAGCTATCAAACTAGACCGTTCCCAATTCAAACAAGAAAGCGCTATATCTATAAATCCATTCAAATCTGCCTTACTGCCACAATTGAAATAGATCTAAATAAAGAATCGTTATGAAAATCTAAACTCCTCAGCTTAGTTATTAATTGAAAATCAGTGTCGATCTGCCTACTTAGTAAAAGAAAACAAGGTAAGATCTGCTTGTTTTCATCTTTATAATTCCAACATTAGTGCTAAATTCCACAATGCAAATCAAAACATAACAAATTCAATAAACATAACACACTATCACTGCCGTAAAAATGTAAATCAGATTCGAATCCACAGAGCACAATCCTACTCTTACTATGAAAGATCCAAATCAATAAGGAACACGAAATCCAAAACCTAAATCGAACCATTTCAGCTTCGAAAATGAAAAACAAACAGGTAATAAAAGAAATGAGCATAGTAACTGAAAAACAAACGTTCGGAAAACCAAGTAGAAAGCAAAATCAACAGATCTGGAAAAAATTGAAAAAGAGCGATAGAGAGAAAGCGGAACCTCGAACGATCAGATCCTTCGAGAAGAGAGGCCGGTTCGTGAAAGCGAAGAAGCTTTGTGTTTCTGGTTGGATATGAGGAGGTTGGAGAATTTTAGATCTTCAAACTAAGCTCATCGTTTTTTTGTATTGGAAAATTGAAAACGAAGACGACGCCCTCTCCAGATCTAAAGATGAAAGATCTATTTCTACTCTGTGAGCTTATAAGCGGAAGCGAAGGATTATCGTTTTATGGCAGTGAAAATTTTAATTTTTCACCTTTTTTACGGGCGTTAACCGTATCGTGAGATGAGGAGTTTTTTTTTTTTTAAGAAAAAACATAATCTATCCAATACTTTTTTGACACGTAAAAATATATTAGCTTATCTGTTAATCATCTGGTAATACTTTTAACCCGATTAACAAAGATGTCAAAAATTAATCCGTCAAAAATAAAAAAACTAACTAATTACAATTTTTATGTTATTATATAAATATCTAGGTTTTAATGATATGTAATACTAATAGGTTATAATATATTTATATTATTATATATGTTATAACTTTGAAATGATTCATATACAAATTTAATCGCATTTATTTTTAAATTCATCGTTTTAGTTAAATTATTTTCTGTAATTTCATTTTAATTGAAAATTGGATCCAGGTTCATCATGGGCTTAATTTGTGGACACGTGAGTGGCTTATTTGACTGGGCCGATGCAAGGGCCAAGAATAAATTGTTCCAGCGCGAAGGAGAATCCTGTTCCTGGTCAATGATCAGCACCAGTGCTGATCATCTCATCTTTTCGATGGGAAATACCCAATCTCAGACTGCATCGATGCATTTGAAGTTTTCAAGAATTAATGAAGCTTTATTTATGGCAACATCCCATACAACGGAAAGGACAAACAAAAAGAAGCCGAAGTATTCCGAGGAAAATCGCTTTCAGGATTGATCATTCAGATTTTAGATTATTTACGCTCATGAAATCAATAGCAAGTAAATAAATAGAGAAGCTTTTTCTATGATCAAAACAGTCAGACTTTATGTACAAGAAAGAAGAGGGGATGATCGGCTTGGGGTAACAAAAGGAAAGGAATCAAACAAAGTATCCCAATTCGGATATCTATAAAGAGAAATGGAATCATTGGATGACCAAGCGCCTTGCACATAAGCTGCAGTAGTACTTCCTCTTGGTCTTGAAATACAGAGGCAAAAAGCAGAACCTCCACTGGCTCTCTACATCCATGGCTTGCACCATCCCTCCACAGTAGGGACAAGCCCCTGCTGCCGGCTGTCTCGCTATCACCCTCTCATCCTCATCGCACACAAACACCAAACACATCTTTGTCTCTTCCTCTTTTTCGCCGATCGATCACCTTGTCGGGGGGTTTTGGGTTTTGATTGCTTGCTTTTGTAGACGGAGTCAAGAGTCTATTGCCTGATTGCTTTCTGGGATTTCTTGGTTGGAAGGAAATGAGCCAAAGAGATCGTTGTTCAAGAGCGTTTTGCTTGTCACGATATTTATAGACAAAACGGCGAGTTCTTTTAGGGATCCGGAGAAGTATAGGTTAGTCTGGAAGGGAAGAAGCGTTGTTTGAAAGCGCGTGAGACTGAGCCTGAGCCTGGACTGGAAGGTTCGGAAGAAGGAATATATCTTCAAAGAAAGTAAGAACACAGGATTTTATGCACGATGACGATGACATCAACCAAACGCGTTGAAGTCAATGCTGTTTTCTACCTCTCTCACGCAATTGCCGGCTGTTAAATGTGAAGTTGTTAGCTATATTTTGTGGGCTCAGTGCACCAGGCGTGGCATAATAACATGGGTAGGCTGAGTCCATTGGAAAAGAGCTAAGGATCAATCCTGCCCTGTGGCCTGTGGGTGCCCCTTCTTGGAGCCCGAGTCCATTCGATGGACCTGGCAATCTTTTCGTAGCCCATGGCCATTCCTCGTGTTCTCGCCTTTTCATTGGTTTTGTGTTGTTGGTAAATGGTGATTAATAATAATCTAGGACATAGTTTGTGAAAACAGCAGTGGGAGGAATATAAGCAGGATGATGGTGTCTCCATAGCATTTCAGATTGCTGAAGTAGCTATTAGTTGCTTCTGTGTAGGCCAAATGGCAAACAGGGGTCTTCCTGTGTCATCTGTGTTACTCTGTTAGGCACCATTTTTATGTTACCATGCTTATATAGCCCCCTATCCAGACAACTCTGGAAGCTGCCAATTAATCTGGGTTCTTGTTTCTGATCGCGGGATGTTTCAAGCAGCCCAGTTTTATAATATAAGCGAGCCTTAAACTGATGCATTTGCTGTTTGCACATTCACAGTTGGATCACATGGTCTCACGTGTCAATCAAATGGCTTTTTGGCTGAAGTGTTTCAGTGACCAAACTCTCTTCTAATCTGCCATGTGCCTTAGAAGTTTTTTAACTCGTATGACATTCATTTCCTTTCCATTAGATTCTTCTCTGATTATTATTTAGAAAGAATGTTGACGACCAAGGCCACTTTATCAATTATATTTTTCAAATCATCATATTCCTGCATACTTGCATCTTCATATTTTGACTCGAAAATCTGTCCAGTATTTGCCTAATGAAGAACACTGTCTCACATCATATTCTTTCCATAATTTTGTATTACTGTACGGTTTTGTGTTATTAATGAGAATATGTTAAACCTCGACTGCAAAATTAAACAAGGCAAGAGTGACGTTTAGAGAAAAAATTTACTAGACACATGATGTAAAATTATGACCAGAACATCCAACGGGATAAAGCATTTTTATCTAAAAATGTTGGTTAATCATAAGCTTATCATGAATAGAAGCAGTTATGTTTAGTTGAAAGTCAAACTAATCCCCCATTCCAGTTTCCCAGGTATGTTATACACCTCAAACCTGCTGCAACTTGCAGCTAGCTACCATGTGAAATGATTCTTTCTCAGAATGAAAGAGATATATTATCTTTTATATAAAAATTTTCATCAGAAATCTTCCATGCTAGTATATATCTCTTGATTAACTTCTGATCTTCAATCAACTTGCTCATTAAAAAGCCTGTCTAACTTGTGATTTCCATTCAAAGCTTAAATATGGAGATCAGAACCAAGTTTTCACGTAGTCTGCTAGGAGCCTTCCTTCTCCTTTCTTCACTTCTTCCATTATCTTTGTCACACTCGAGCGATGAAGTTCCTTCCCAAGTGTTATCCAGACGTCTGCTTACACAAACTCCTAGTGGTGCAGTTCGACAATATCTAATCCCCCACAACATTCTAAGAGCATAGCGTAGGCCCCCTCGTCTAAAATGGAGCAAAAAGCTTGCAAATTTTGCATCCTGGTGGGCACATAAGAGGCAAGGTGACTGTGCTTTGATTCATTCAAATAGCAATTATGGGGAGAATCTCTCCTGGGGTAGCGGCAAGGATTGGTAACCAGGCGATGCAGTTGCGGCATGGGCGGCAGAGAAAAGTAACTACAACTATAATTCTAATACTTACACGAAAAACAGAGACTGCCTGCATTATACTCAGCTAATTTGGAGGAATAGCTTGAAGATTGGGTGTGCCAAAGTTGTGTGTAAGAGTGCAGACACTCTGACCGCATGTAATTATGATCCCCATGGTAATGTGATAGGCCAGAAGCCATTCTGAATTGAAATGCCTTTGGCTGGAATTCATGGCAGGACTGGAAGCAAGACAGGAATCATAATCATGACTGCCACTGAGACAGAAAATTTTATGGAAGTGCTGTAGTGGTACGTACTGTGAGAGGATTCTTTCTTTATTATCATTTGTTAATATGCAGATGCTGTAACTCCTTGAAGTTGTTTTGTTCATAAAGAAAGTACTTAACTAATATGATTGGCGTTTGATGACAGCCAACACATAACTGAAAACCCCGTTCTTGTCTAATTCTAAAACCATATCAGTTATTAATGTTAGATTTTTGTATTTAAGTTGAACTGGATGAGCAGAAAGCATAAATGCAGCATTGAATTACAGAAAATAGAAAAAAACCAGGAAACAGAACTTCACTGCAATTTCATTAAGAAAGAAGAAATTTGATACACTTCATTAACTTACAATAGCAAGATAAAACTTGTCTTAAAGATTACAGAAACATAGCTTAAACCACTGCCTTACACTACCTGCAAGCAGAAGGCAGAAATCAAGTCACTGCTGCATGCATTGGTTGCATGCTCTGACACGGTCAACATAACTTGGAAACTATTAAAACAGTTCAAAACACAAAATGACAGTTAACTGTTGGTGATGTCATGGTCTTCAGCTCGTCTCAGCATCAACAATTACCTTAGATGTTCCCGTATCTGAAGATAATGCTTTTGCGTTTTGCTTTTCTTGACAATTTTGAATGTCAACATTACACAAAATATTCCACAGATGGTTTCCAGAACTCAGAAGCACCAGGGGGAGCGATAAAACATGTTCCAATTGCAGACAGGGAAAGCTTGGAGTGGTCCTAAAGTGGCAGCATAGATACAAAAAAGTGGAGATATTGCTCGAGTTGATCAAGGAAACCACTATCCTGTCAGCTCTTCCAAGACAGCCAAGTGCTTTTGCTTCTTGTTATTGATCACAAAATTTGTCTGCTAGAAGTTTTTCTCCTGCCTAAATAAATTTTATCTCAAAGAAAATAACAGTGGCTTGCCGTTCCCAAATTATGCGTACTATAAGATAAGCCAGCCAAAATTTGAACAGACATTTTTAAAGGAAGCATCACCTAACGTTACTGATCTGTCATTCAGCATAATAAACAAGCTTAAATTATCCATAAACACAGAAACTGGCCGCTTGACTAACAAAACAAAAGATTTACATACATAGTATTTATATATAGTCCTACCACAAAGACAAAGATTTATGCGTAAAACACCTGGCAACTACAAGGAGAAAAGTCCAACAAGCCTTTGAGGCAGCCACAACTTTGCCACTGCGCAAACTAGGAGAGAACAACTGTTACAACTCAGATACCTATATCACCATTTTTGCACACGAAATTCATCACAGAATCACCAACGACTGTCACATGCGCTGCAAGAGGATTTTCTCTTCTTCCAGAAAAACAGAGGCAAAAAGAAGAACTTCCATTGGGTCTTTATGTTCATAGCTTGCACCGTCCCTCCACAGTAGGGACACGCCCCTGGTTGTGGCTGCCCATATCTCACCTTCTTGTCTTTTGCACACACAAACACCCCACAAATCCTTTGCATTGTTTGTGTACGAGAGGAGACGATGCTGTGAGACACCACGGCCTTCTTTTCTTCACGGCCTTGCATGATTTCTTCCTTGCCCTCGGAACTGAACTATAGTCTCGTTTTGATCTAGTATCCTTTTGATCTTCTTGATCTCAGCTGGTTTACTTAGAATATAACTTTTTTGTTGGTTTAGGATCCGGGATAATATCAACAAGCTAACTTACTTTGGAAGGAATTGTTTTTTTTTTTTTCAAATAAAGAAAAACAAACAAAGCAACTTTTTAAGTCCTGAAGGAAAAGGAAGATATGGCATTGGAGCTTTCTGTAAAGAGTGTCCCCAACAGGGAGATTCTGTCTGACCATGACCAGCGACCCTGAGCGAGATGCGTTTACCTAGGTAAGTTGCCCTGTTTAGTCTTTTCCATTTAAACCGGTCATGAAATTGCAGCGAAGATGTTCAAATTGGTACTCGAAGCTTTGGAGATACATACCTGAAGCAAGTTAATGTTCAAATTAGTACATGGCTAGTGGTTTTCATAAATTAACAGGTTGAGGTTACTGAAGTTGTTGAAGAGAATTAGTGGCATTGGCCTCAAACTAGATATAATGCCCTTATGGATATTTTGCAGTTGTTGATGGAGTAATAATTCCCAAATCTATGAAAGCTGATAACTGTCCTTTGGCTCCCCTCTGGTTCAAGTAAATGCAAAGTTGCTGATCGATAGGACTTTATCAGGCATAAACAACCCACAGTTAATTGGCACAAAATAATAGCTATCAGCTTTTGTTACTACTGCAAAATTGAGTTCCCAAGCTCTAAAGTACATTTTAGCATGGAAACAGACCACTCCGTTTGCTTCATTCCTAAATCATATCCAGCTTGGCTGCACCCTGCTGCCTGATGCATTGAATGATGAATGTTACAAAATAAATGCAGGCTGATCAATTCTGAAGCACCGGAAATGAAAAACATGTGCTGGCAGAGTGTGCTTGGAGATCCTGAAATGGCAGAATGGTTACAACAGCTTCGGGACATTGACAGAGTCGATCAAGGAAGGCAGTGGCTAGTTCCCCATTCCGAGAAAGCCAATTAATAGTTCACAGCTAGCTAGAGGGAGAGAAAGATAATAAATGTAATCAAGATACTCCGAGCGGACAGCAGAGAGAAAGGGGAGCTGTTGAACTCCATTGCTACATGGGACATGCCATTCCCGTACCAATCACCTTGCCAACGCGAATTTGTGAGATAATTCACTAAAACAAAGTCCATATTTTCATTTTTAAAAGAAAACAAAATCTCCTAACACTACCAATCTGTCACTCTGCATAAAAAGATAAACCAGCCGTGAATCATCTTCCTACATGAATTCACAAAGTAGGCGTTGAGGTAGTGCTCAATATAAAAATTGGCAAATTGCCTAGCAGAACAAACAGCACTACAAAATTTACACAGAAAAAAAGATCACATTAAAGTATAAAACTCCACCCTGGCCTTACAATCATGATGATAAACTACTATAAACTAGTTCAAGTCAGTATGAAAGACAAGAGATTCAAGCATAGAGCACTTGACAACTTGAAGGAGAAAAGTCGTGAAAAGCGTTTGGGGCAGCCACGACCTCCCACTGGGCAGAACACCCCCCGTTTTGTCCCTCGAATACCCTGCCTATCGCCACGTTTAGCCCACTTGAGACCACGTAGATTTTCCCATCCACCCCACTCACAGCGAAGGGCCTCTGCATTTCCTCACGTGGGAATCTGTCACCACCCACGTACTGCCACGCGTCGTGATCAGGGATGTAAACCTTCATCGGGCAGTCCCCGTGTTCCGAAATGACGAACAGCCTGTCACCCAGAACCACGCTCACCCCGGTCCAGCCTTCCTTCATCCCGTCCTTCATTTCCTGCCACGTGTCGTTCTCCTGGTCATAGACCCCGCCTCTGGGCGAGAACAGGAAAGGCCACGTCCACCCCTCTGTCACGTACATCTTGCTCCCTATCACAGCCGAATCGTACCTGGCCAATCCTATCCGCATTTTAGCGACGCATTCCCACGTGTCGTTTTCTGGATCATAGCATTCCACCGAGGTGATGGAATCATTATACCCAGCCCCACTTGCACCAACGGCTATGATCTTACCATTAACACTCCCCGCAGCAAAAAATGATCGTGGGGTCATCATTGAAGCAGCTATGGACCACTTATTTGTGGATGTAGTGTAGACGATTGTCGTCTGCATGGAAGTTTCTGTGTCCGAGCGCATACCACCCAAAACGTAGAGCTGGCCTTGCCGCGGAATCGAACTACAAGCAAACCCTGGTGGGCACACAGCCTTGGGACAGGGCATGGAAGGTAATCTAAACCAACGGCCTGATCGCGGGTCCAAAGCTTGCCATTGCATCCTCGCCGTCGATTTATGGAAAGCGAAAACGAACAGATAAGGCAGCGAAAGTGATAAGGATCTCTTGGAGATAAGGAAGGCAGGGTCTGTTATGGCTCTGTTCCATGAGGAAGACACTGCACGTACCAACGATTGGTATGGATATGGAAGGTGAAGAAGACATAGCTCTGAGATCTCGTCCGGTAGCCCTGGAATCAACGGCTCCGACTTCTTGCGATTTTCTTGATCATAGTTGTCTTGTTGTTTGTTCGACCAAGACTTGGAAACCGCCATTAATTAAATCTTCGAAGCTCTGTGCTTAGACCCCAAAAATAAGCTGAAGAGAAGTCGAGGAATTTCGTCAGAGCATGGTCCGCACTGCCTATATAGCTAGAATTGTAAAAGGGTGACGGAAACAGAGGCAAAAAGTGGTATGTGAAGCTAACTTTACAGAGCGAGCTACCAAGGAAATGTTGGCTTGTCAAAGTGTTTTCGACTATTTTAATGTTGCCCTTTTTCCTTTTTTCGATGAGGTAAAAAACAAAACAAAACAGGATGGCCTTGTTTTTGTTTTGTGTTTGCGTGTTCCGCTTCTAGAAACCGGAATATTAGGAGAATCTTAAAATTGAGTGACGCACCAAAATCCGGCGAATCCGAAGAACAAGGAATTCCCGGGAATTGAAAATTCAACACCACGGGGATCAGCTACCGATGACGTAACTTGAACTAAGCGACGAACAAGTGCCGTCGGTGCCCGGAGCTTCGACGGAAATTTTTAATTGGTCTGAGATTGGTAGATCTGAAAATGATGATGTGGGCTTGGGCTAAAAGTGGTTGCAAGTTTGAACAAATAGGAAATCTGGAAACGTTGGATTCGCTCAACAGTTTATGTGGTTGGCCGAACAGTGATGTGGACTTTCAATAATTGATGCAGATTGTAGGGCCCAGATCTTGGTGGTTCAACTGGAACATGAGATTGCCTTTCATCTCGGTGTTAATGAAACCCGCCACGTCAAATCCCTTAATAATTATTGTAATAATTAACCCCACCTGCCCCCTTCCTTTTCCGAGTTTTCATTTTACTTCAACTACAACAAAAGTTTATGCATTTCATGGTAAAATTAACGGTTTAATCTTTTATAAAAATACAAACTATACACGAGACATTAATTAAAAAAATCATAAAATATCATATGATAGTTAAGCATTTTATGATATTTTAAATAGTTTGTATGGTAAAATTAACAATTAAACACTGTCCGAGAAATATTAGAATTATGAAAAAACCAATATCAAAGTACAGATATGTGATGCCAATTGGTGTGACTTAATTGTTTGAGCTGCTTATTTGGAGCGAGTGACACCTATAAGCACGGATTTATCCCATAATTAGAAGTAACTAACCCCACTTGCCCCACTTGATAGGTGGTGCTACCACTTTTTGTATTTTTTTATTAACAAGAAAATGAAAAAGTGAGAGAATAATTATTAAGAAAATAAAAAAGCATGAGCAACACCAAGACTTTGGAGTTGAATATTAATCTCGCTGTTTAGCCAACTATTTACTTGTTCCAATGATCTAATTAGATTTTTTAGACATGAATAGAATCAAATTGAGACCAATATGAACCACGTTTAGCTACATATAAACCTTTTTGGTACGACCCATCAAAGCATATCTTTGACAAAATACTATATACAGTTGAGTTTTAATTATGGGCATGATTGAGGAATAATTATTATTTTTGACTATGATAAAAAGAATGGTTTTTTTAAGGATATTTTGTTTCCAACTCAAGGCAACCGTAAGTCGATTAAAGTATTGATAAGTGCCCCATCAAACTTTGATTTGTGTTGTTTATTAATGAATTGATAATTTATTGAATATAAATTTTTATTTATATTATGATAATCATGGAATCATAAAATTAAGCCATCAATAATGTTAAAACTATTGCATATGCATACACGAAACAGAATTAGATGGAAAAGCATGGGGAATCAGCATCCTTATCTTCTCTAAAGTGAGGAAAATTGACAAATGTGAAAGGTTACGGCGGAGGCGTGAGGAGTGGCTTCGGCTGACAAGACTAGGAATTGGCGGTATTATGCGGATGAGGATGATTTGTAAAAGCAAGTCAACAAAGGTTTCTTATCGAAACCAATAAACCTGGCTTGTAGGTAATAATAAGAGATTTCTCACTATTTCTCCTCATATTTGTCTTCACTTCGACGTATCCTTGCCTCAAGCAAAGAATGAAAAATATTTATAGTGTTAATTAAACAAATTATGTGGAAAGTTGAATTATTTAAATTTTTAATGATTATTTGGGCGAAAGAAAAGAAAGGGTACTTTAATAATGGGTCATGTGGATAGCCACTTTTGAAGTTGGGAGACTTAAGACATCTGATTGTTAATATGGTAAGCAGGAAGTTTGCTTATTATTATTATTATTATCTCAATCAAAACTTTATGCAAGAAGCTCAAAGTAGAACCATCTTTTTGACTTTTAACAGCTCGTGTGTTTTTTAATCCACCATTTTTTGGCTTATCTGAAACAGCATTTTCCTCAAAGTAAACAAAATTTTAGCATGATAACTAGGGATAAAGAAGAACACAAACAAACAAATTGGAGAAAAAAGATAAAAGCAATTTAAGCAAAAGATGCGGCATATTTTATTAAAAGAAAACAAATTAAAATATATTTAAAAAAAAAACCCCAAATGTGGGACTTTTGTCAAAGCAGAAAAGAAAAACCATAGCTTCACTAAAGTTTGTAAAGGGGAGGTTGTAGTATTTTACTTGGCTTCTAATTCTATGGCCTAAGCAATAATGAAAAGTTCTCTTTTACGAGATTATGCTTCAATAAAAATGGAAATCATAATCAAACGACTTTAAATAAATATGACATAATATATGTATATATATATGATGACATATGGATCTCAAATTTATTAATTTCGGAATCTCCTTTTATGATTGAATTTAATTATATTTGTTTAAGGCCATGGAATCTAAATCTCTTTCTTTTTAAGATTTAATGCAACCATTGAATCCGAGTCTTTTTATTACATATCAAAAGGAAAAAAAATTATTATATGAGTTTATATGTGATATACTATATATATATTTTATATATTATCAATAAACTAAAAATTATTATTTCATTAATAAATAAATTTTAGGAGTCAAGAATTCTCAAAAATATTTATTTTGAAATTTTTTTAAATTTTTGTATTAATATATTTATAAAATTAATATTTAAATTAATTAATAGTATATAAATACTATATATGGACAGTATATAAAATAAATCGATTAAGTAAGAAACTTTTTTATTTTAAATATATATTTTTGGATTAGAATGTTGAAAAATAGCTGATTTTCCTGTGGCCCAAAGTGGCAGAGTGAAATTTGCGGTAATGGCCCGGAATGAAGCAGTACCATTGGCCCAAGCAGATGTCTAACTCTACCTTACTGACCAATGAATTCGTTCCAAAGCCCCGCACACAGGCCATCGCATTATCCGTTTTGGACCATCGAGGTCACTGCCAGATCGCTCTCTCGTCTCTCCTTTTGTCAGCTTGCAAGTTTTTTGCATGGCTGGCTGATGGGTAGGCTCAGGCTCACCAGCACCGCCAGTCTCACCGCCAAACGATGCCTCAAGTCCACGCCATCTTGCCTTTACCATCAAAATGGCCGTTGCTGCATTCCAATATTTTCTTTTCTTCTGCGCCAATTCGACGTCGTTTGCGGAGGACCTTCTCTCCCACTAAACCTCCCAGTCTTAAACGTCTCACCTCTCGCATTGTCCAACTGACTCGCCGCAGACAACTTCATCAGGTCAGCCGTTTTCTTTTCTTTCCTTTTTCTTTTTGGGGTTTAAAGTGCTGTTTTGTTGGAATTCATTGTTAGCGTCCGTGGGTTACAGATATTTGAGGAAATCGAGTGTGCGAGGAGGGAATATGGGAAGCTGAACACGATCGTGATGAACGCGGTGATGGAGGCTTGCGTTCACTGTGGAGATGTTGAAATGGCTCTCAACATCTTTCATCAAATGGCTCAACCCCACAGTTGTGGTGTTGATATTGTCACCTATGCTACACTCTTGAAGGTACTTTAATTTCCCTTTTTTCTTTTGATTTTCAATAAACCAAACAACTGCCAAACATGATCTTATCATCATTTCCAGGCATTTTATTTATTTTTCTGAGAAAATTTTTGTAGTTGGTAGTTTATCGAATGATTGAATCTTACCTTGTGTCTTTGTAAAGGGATTGGGTCGGGCTCGAAGAATTGATGAAGCATTCCAAATACTTGAGTCTGTGGAGCAAGGCACCGCTGCGGGGAAGCCAAATTTGTCAGCGCAGCTTATCTACGGTCTGTTGAATGCTTTAATTGAAGCAGGTCAGTGTTTCAAGTCCAGTGAAACCTTTTTTGTTAATCTGAGATTTTATCTCTAGAAATCTTGGGATGAATTTGAAATCAAAGGTTTTCAGTACTAAATGGATGGCATAATTAGCATAATACTAAAATTCTTATATTATCATAATTTGTGTTTATTTTCTTGTCAATGACAAAAGCATTGGACTACCAGAGTAAGTTTGTCATTCGGATCAAGTCTGAAAGCATTAAGCAGCCATTTTAAAAAAATGAGGGCTCTGTTTTGGCAGCACATCACACTTTTATCTGTTAAAAATTATAATAGCATTGACAAGATGATTATTCATTTTCTCAGTACCTGCATGTGGATGGGCTATATGAACCTAGACATTCATATGAATGGAGAATGTAGATAGTTGAGTTTTATGGAGCTGAATATATACTTCAACATGTTACTTTTGCCTGTTTTAGGTATATCCTTGTAAGCAACAAGTTTGGTGTTACTGATAATGTGATACATAATCTGCTTTAGTGCAGGAGATCTACGCCGTGCTAATGGTCTTCTTGCACGCTATGGTTTTCTACTTCGTGAAGGCAGGAGTCTTTCAATATCTGCTTACAACTTGCTAATGAAGGTTTTTGTCCGGCCTATAGATCTGCAAAGGAAGAGAGACTAATTAATAGTTTAATTTTCCTCCAAAAATGTCCTCATGGTCCTTTGCTTGTCAGTTAAAAGCATCTATTCTTGAAGATTAATCTATGTTTTTCCCCTTCGTTTTTCCTCTCCTTCAAACTCGCAGGGATACATAGGCGCGGGGTGTCCTCAGGCTGCAATAAACCTGCATGAAGAGATACTACGTCTTGGGCTAGAGCCTGATAGACTGACATACAATACTCTCGTCTTTGCATGTGTCAAGACTGAAAATTTAGATGCTGCTATACGTTTTTTTGAGGAAATGAAGGTCACAAGCACTTCTTTGAAAGGCCAGTTTAGAGCCTCCCATATACAAGTAATAAGAATAATCATGGGAACTATACCCAGTTGACTAAATAATTATACCTGATAATTTTTTTCAGGATAAAGCACTGAGGTTATGCCATCTTGATCTTTACCCGGATATTGTTACATTCACTACGCTATTAAAGGTTAGTTAATCTTGTGTTTATATAGGTATCAATAGTTAATGAACAAGCAGTTTATGAACTTTCAAACTTTTAGATGCGGAGCTTTTGTCAAAATATGAGAACATTTATACTGCAACATTCCCTATGAAATGGATGCAAAATAGTCTATATCTTCATTGGTAAACCTTATTATTCCTGAGATCTTCATCTTTCTCTTGTGAGTGAATTGGAAATCAATATATTGCTCACATGCGACCAAAAAATTTATGGAAGAACTTACCATTTTATTTTTCCTTTTACTTTATATCTGTGTAGGGTTTTGGGCATTCTAAGGATCTCCATTCAGTTCAGAAGATTGTGTTGGAGATGAAATCACGTCATGATTTGTTCATTGATCGTACTGCATTCACTGCAATGGTTGATGCATTGCTAAATTGTGGTTCAATCAAGGGTATGTTGCTGATATTGTTTCAGAACTTGCGGAGTGTTGTGATTGTATCTTACTTATGTGATTGAGGTTCAGATCTTGAATTTTTCATGTTATGTTAGTTCAGCAGTTGATTACATTTTGCATGGAACTTTTATGAACGTTATCCAGATTGGATGTAACTTCAAAGTAAATTTAAAATTTTTGTCTGCTGATGTTTTGAGTAAAACTTTTATTAAGGTCATACACTCTGAAGGATGTAAACAATATATGCACCAAATTTGTAATGTTTGAGTAAAGCTTCTGCATTAGCATGCTGAAGCTCACATAAAAATATTTTACAGATGAGGTTTTCTATCAGTGTTGTTAACTCATGTTGGTGAACCAGTTTGCTGCATACCTACTTTTGTATTTTTCACTTACTAGTGGTATATATAAAACTTTGTTTTTTCGGGGAAGTACTGGAATAATAACTCATGGAATGGTTATCTACAAACAAAAAACCTAGGTGCTCTTTGCATATTTGGAGAAATAATAAAGTGGGCTGGTGCGAATGTGAACTTGAGGCCAAAGCCTCACCTTTATCTCTCCATGATGCGTGCTTTTGCTGATCAAGGGGATTACAATACGGTTAAGAATCTGCATGAGCGGTTGTGGCCAGATTCTTCTGGAACCATCTCCCTGGCGGTTCAAGAAGAAGCTGATCATCTTCTAATGGAGTCTGCTTTAAATAACGGGCAGGTAATCAATCCATCTACACTTGATAGTTGGCATTTCATTTGCTAATGCATTAATAATGCATGGTGCAGAGAGCATATCTAAAATATAAATTCTTGTATTTATTAGGATTAGTTGTCTCATCTGCATGTACCAGACACAATTTTGACTGGGAAAACATGAACTGGCACTTGCAGACCATGTGCATACTTCCAAAACTAAATGACAATCATAGGTTTTCTGTCTGAACTCTAGGTTATCTCATGTAAGAATTCCCGAACTTGGAAATTTTGAATTCTTTTTTTGTTTTTTTTCACCAGGTTGATGCAGCTGTGGAAAATCTTATGAAGATTATTAACAGATGGAAGAAGGGTATATCATGGACGAGTCGTGGAGGCATGGTATGGAATTGATTCTTACTTTTGTTGATTGCACAAATACACTAAGGAAAGAAAGAACAGAGCAGCTTAATCTTATCTGACCCATTGAAGACATAAGATATTTGAAATGTATGTCAATACGTTGCCCTTGTTGAAAATGTCCTCAACTACTATTGTCCTTGTTAAGCAATAAACTCCGTGCTTTTCCAAGTTCTCCTGTTTGTTTAGTTTGACGGGATTAATCTGGACTGCACATAATGTGGTTTAACCACCCTCCCTTTATGAGATGTTAGTTATGCTTTTTAGTTAAACACCTTCAATGTACTACTGCTATGCAGGTTGCTTTGCATATAGAGGTTCTTCTGGGATTTACCAAATCAATGTTCAGCCCTTACTTGCTTCCTCAGGTACACAGTCTCTTCTTTTCATTTTGAACTGTAGAAGGAGAAAGATTCGAGTAAATTTTAGGAATGATTTGCATATATAGATGTGAATATGTATGACAAAGCACTTTGTGAACTTCATATGTGTGGCTCTGGTATGTGGTACATTGCAAAAAATGTGACCATATTTATTAGGTGCGTTGTTATTGGGGGACCTACTAATAAAATGAATCTCTGGTTCTGGAAATGTCCATGTATGAGAGCAACTCTAGTTGTGACCAAATTAGTTGAATTGGCATTGATGATCTTGTTGATGGAGATAACTGAATGGTGACCTCAACTGGCAGTTTCGATGTGCCAAGTCCTGATAAACTGTCAATTTTTTTAGGTTGAATGTCAAGATTTTTTCTGTTCAGGTGTTGCCAGGTGACCCCATTGAGAGCATCATGATGCCACTTGAAACAGTTAGGCCAGTACTTGGCACTTTGGAGTTGAAGAAAGTAGTAATGCGCTTCTATAGAGATCCAGTTGTGCCTATTATAGATGACTGGGGCAGCTGCACTGGGCTATTGCACCGTGAGGATTGTTATGAGGTACTTTTCACATCTTGTTGGTAGCAAATAAAAACTTCCTTGGTTTTTAACCTCATTTGATGACATTCTTGATTTGGTATTGTTTGATTATTCATCGTGCAGCATTGTCACACATAATTAAGATATGAAACATATTTCTGTCTAGTATTTTTGTTCGGAGGATAACATATGAAATTTATGATTGGCTGTCATTCTCCTCCAATTTCTATTAATCGTGAGCTGATTCATTCTTGTATGATCTTCATCCTTGTGCAGATGAATGCCCCACTTTCAACAATGATGAGAAGTCCACCTCCTTGTGTTACAACGACAACATCCATTGGTCATGTAGTTGATCTAATTTTGCAACAGAAGTACAAAATGGTCATTGTTGTAAAGCATAGCAACTTGAATGGTACCACGCATGGGTCTAGGGCAGTCGGTGTTTTTACAGCTGAACAATTAGTTAACCTCATGGCCCCTGTGCCAGAGGTGCTGAAGCAAAAACACTCTCTTTGTAGAAGATTGACAATGTTTTGATGCAGTTGTTATCTTCTGCCTTTTTTTTTTTTTTTTGCA